CACACATACACACCTTTCCGGAAAATTGCCGGTAATTTTCCGGAAAGGTCTGTATGTGTGAAAGGGGCTTTTGACACACTTGCTTTAACAGTTTCAGTGTCACGATGCCTCGCTCTGCCCACCACTAGCGGTAATGACACCTTTTTGCTGGGATCACACCAAGCAAAACTGAAACTTTGCTCTGTTTAACATCACTTAGGAATCAGTTTTTAAAAATGGGCTAATAACTTAGCCTTAAACGGAACATTCACAAATATATTGAGTAAAAAGCCATAAAGCATTATGAAAAGCAATAAAGTCCATATTTCTATCACCGCCTTTAGTAGCTGATGCCTATAATATAGTATTAACTCTGGAAATGTTAATGAACTCTTATGAACTATTGTCTACTTGGAGACTGTTTTCATATCAACTCAAGTAGACAGTAAATATAGTCTAGTTTCAGTTTTACCCTGAGTTACACCCCCAGTTTACCCACATTACACCCTAAAGAAAAACATTACAACATATTTTATGGTCGCTTAAACATACACACACACACACACACACACACACACACACACACACACACAAACACACACACACAAACACACACACAAAGAGAATCAGACTTTCTCATGGGCCTCATTTTGCTGCAGTTATATTTGCTATTATTGGCTGTATCAGTAAAAATAACCACTGGAAGTCATAGTGTACAGTTGAGTAAACACTATTAAGGGCCGGATGTTTTTTTATGTGACGTCAAAGCAAATATGCATGCAGTTTTCCTTCGAAATGAAATCAAAATGTTAGCAGAGCATACACTCAAAGCAAGTACACTGAACAAAATGAATCATTGGATTTACTACATTCTTTTTTTAGTGATTGCAAACAATTCATATGGCCAGAATTTAAACCTCGTGCACTGTTTAAGTTTACTACCCTTTTGTTATATTGGGATGAAAACATCCATTAAATTAAACTGCTGTAAAAACACATCAGATTATATATATATATATTTATTTATTTTATTTATTTTTGCATAAATCTGTTAATCAACCTGAGTCCTGATCAAAACTGCTAAATGTTTTGAAAAATTACAGGATTTTAACTCTTTAATTGCCAAATTCATAAATTATGTCACTGATTTGGTGAAAAAAAAACACACAAAATGACGCATTTTCAATATAAAAAGTAATTGTGGACAGGATTTATTATTATTTTTAAAAGAAATTTCAGTCTTGGACATGTGAATGATTAATAACAAAATTGGCTTTGATGCATTGTTAGATTCTTTTTTTCTCCCTAATTTACTGTTGCTGGCTGTTTTTGCCCCATTGACTTCATTATAACCACATTTGATGGTGCATAAATACACAGTCTTTGTTTTTGTTTACTCAATGTAGTTCTTAGAGCTGCGATGCATATTTTGGTTTTCTCAGACCCACAAGTGCATAAAAGGTCACTCTTACACACTCATAGACACTCATACAGTTTAATTTGTTGTTATACTCCAAATAAAATCTAGAAACTAAGCATTCTTTGCCTATCTAAAGGGTTAATGGTGCCAACTGATGATCAACAGTAAAAATGACACATTTGACCTCTTCCCAACTGGGAAAACCACCAACAATCAAAAATGCATGGAAATGTGGCTATAATGGAAGTCAATGAGGCAAAAACAGCCACCGACAGTAAATTAGGGAGGAAAATATGAAAATTAATCAAAAATATTGCATCAAATGCAATGCTGTTTGACATGTCCAAGCCATTGATGAAAGATCAAAATACTCAGTCCACAGTTACTTTTTATATTAAAAAAGTCATTTTGTGTGTTTTCTCACTAAATTAGTGAAATAACTAGTGAATTTGGCCATTAAAGAGTTAAAATCCTGTAATTTGAGAAAACATTCAGTGGTTTTAATCAGTACTGAGGTTAATTAACAGATTTATGCAAGAAAAAAAAGAAAACAAAAAAATATATATAGTGAAATCTAAAGGCAAATATTTGCAAACTATTTATATGAGCTGAATTTAAACACACATTGAGTTTAATATTACTTAATTTAATTTGTTTTATCCTTATGCACTGTTGAAGATGTTTCATCCACTTTGGGGTGATTTTGAGTTTTAATTTGGTCATAACTTTTTCTGTTTCAGCTATTAATGCCTGGATGGTATTTTATGTGACGTCTACGCAACTATGCATGCAGTTTTCCTTTAAAATGAAATCAAAATGTTAGCAGAGCATACACTCAAAGTGAGAACATTAAAAAAATTATTCATTGGATTTACTATACTCTTTTAAGGTAAGTGATTGCAAGCAACTTGTATGGGCTGAATCCAACCCATGTGCGTTGTTCAACTGTACTACATTTTTTGTAATGTTCGGGATATATATATGTGTGTGTGTGTGTGTATGTATATG